AGTTTTTTAATTAAATTGACGGATTTTCGACTTTAGAAAATTCAATCCTCGGTGTCCATCGGAGTTTAAGGAATAAAACTCATGGGAATTCTCCAGGCGTCTATACAGAAGATTCCCAGACCCATAATTAAAAGATTCACCCCATGGACACCGAGTAACAGCCCCATAAAAGGAAGTTTTTTAATTAAATTGACGGATTTTCGACTTTAGAAAATTTAATCCTCGGTGTCCACCTGAGATTAAGGAAGGAAACTCATGGGAATCTTCTAGGACACTATACGGAAGATTCCTAGATCGATAATCGTTAGATTAACCCCATAGACACCGAGTAACAGCCCTATAAATGGGGGTTTTTTAATTAAATTAACTGAATTTCGACTTTAAAAAATTCAATCCTCGGTGTCCACCTGAGATTACGGAAGGAAACTCATGGAAATCTTCTAGGATACTATACAGAAGATTCCCAGACCCATAATTAAAAGATTCACCCCATGGACACCGAGTAACAGCCCCATAAAAGTCGTTTTTTGATTAAATTGAAAAAAAATTGACTGTTAAAAATTTATTTCTCGGTGTCTACGAGAGATTAAGGAAGAATCCTCATGGGAATAATAGAATTTACCCTAGAAAAGATTTTCAGGCCCATCATCGATCGATCAACCCCATACACACCAAGTAACAGCCCCATAAAAGTGGTTTTTTAAGTAAATTGAAAGAAAATTGACTGTTAAAAATTTATTCCTCGGTGTCCACGGGAGATTAAGGAAGAACACTTATCGAAATAAGAGAGTCCACCCTAGAAAAGATTTTTAAACCCATAATCGATCGAGTTACCCCATGGACACGGAGGAACATCCCCATCAGTGGCTATTTTTAGCTAATTTCAGCGAAATTTCAGCTTTAAAAATTCATTTCTCAGTGTCCACGGGAGATTAAGAGAAAAAAACTTATAGGAATCATAGAGTATACCCTACAAGAGATGTCCACACCCATAATCGATCGATCAATCCATGAACACTCAGTAACAGCTCCATAAAAAAACTTTTTTCAAAAAAATTGACAGAAAAAATGATAAAGACAGTTTTTGTTGGTTTTTTACTTTTAAAATTTTTATTTTTAAACAATTTTATCCGTGATAAATCAGCTATTCTTGAATTATATCGGTTTAAATAATTTAATTGTTATTAACAATTGTCATTACTATCAACGAGCAAAATAATTTAGTTTTCCGTAATCCCCGGCAAATATTGCGATCTCATCGGTTATTTGAACCCGGGGTCCTAAAAATGCATACGGGCTTTTCCTTCAGCCTTAACAATTCTTTCAGTGAGAGTGCACCAAACAGGGTCTATACATTAAGTAGATCCTTTTTTTTTATATATATCTAAAAAAGTTTTCCAAAATATTCGCAAAAACTTGCTCTTTTCCTTCTTTTTTACATTTAATTTTTGTAAACTATATATTACTATATTTACTATTAATATATATTACTATATTTTTACATTTAATTTTTCTAATTATTGTTTTATGTATGCGTTTTGGAATGATTCATTATAATTCTAACAAATGTTATTATTATTTGAACTACTCTTTCTTTCAAACTTTTGTTAAAGACAAAAGAATTGAGATGAAATTCTACATGTTAACAAAACTCAGTGTCAAATGAGTGCGACTTGCTTCTAACGAGCCGACAACGTCCGAGTCGAAGTCAGCTTCTGCGTGTCTATGCGTATAGCTATTGTTCGAGCGCGAGTTGACTGTTTAACTCGTTGAATTTCGTTTCTATTGTTCATATGTGTATCAGGTTACACATATTTCACGAGAGAATTAACCAATCACAATCGAGAAAATTTTTTAAGTTTTTTTTTCTGTTAAGAAAAAACTCAGTAGTTTTCACGCAGTTGATCAGTGAGTATCTGCATTAAGTATTGCTATACTTTACCTATACTTTTTACTTTTCTCAAGTACATGGTAAATAAATCATTTGAGATTGATTATTTTTTTTTGTGACATGTTTGAGTTGTATTTTTTAATAATTTTTAAATTTTACTCTGTGTATCTCTTGAAATATCAGTACTTTTTGTGACTTGTTTGTTTTATATTCTTCATATACATTTTATCCTTTACATTTATTTATTTATTAGTGTTTTTAGTGTTATGTTGGTTTTTGATTCTCAAATTACTTTTTTTCTTGGTATATTTATGTGATTCTATTTAATTAATTACAACTAAAATGTCGGGATCTAATTCAAGTGCAAACCCTTTAGAAAATAAGTGTATTATTTGTCTGCAAGATCGAATAAAAAAAGATCGAAATAAATCTCAGTTATGTGACTTAACGAAAGCTCAAAAACTAATAGATGCCTTCAAAAAAACTACAGAGGTAAAATATGAATTTCATCGTTCAATTAAAACACCTCAAGAATTACTTGCGAATAAAGTTTTGTATCATCCCAATTGCATGCGGAAATTCGAACTTTCTTCTGAAAGAAGTGATTGTACAGTGACAAGTAATTCATGCAGTAATTTAAACGATCACAGTGAGAATGCCAGTGGATTTTCTTCAAGCAACGATGTGTATGAATTTAGTTCTGATGATGAAAATGAAGAAAATAGTTCACTTAACAGCTTTAAGAGTCACAACGTTCACAATCGGAATGAAATAAGACAAAAGAAAATGACGGCTATTAAAAATGCTATCGAATCTGTTTTACCCCAAGTAGATGCCGGTGAAATTTTACAAATAAACTTGATTACAAAAAAAGTTAATCAAACACTAGGTTCAGAAGCTCAGATTCATAATCGAGATGTAAAATCATTCATGGAAATATATTATAATGATTCCATTGATTTCACTGCATCTTCTCGGTCAAATGAATCGACTTTATTTTTTAAAAGTTCTTTGACACGGGATGATTTGATTAAGAAATTAGCTTCAATTGACGTAATTAAAGAAAGCGCTCAGTTAATAAGAAAGTCACTATTGGCTGAAGATTTTGATTTAAATAACAAATTCTGTGATAAATTTGACTTGCAAGAGTCATGGAATCGAATTACAATGCCGAGTCACGTGGAACGATTTTTTTCTGTAGCATTTGATTGTCCGCAAGCGCAGATTAACAAAAGTTTTGTCGATATCACTTCATCAAATGTAGACGCAGACAATTTAAACCTCAGAATTAAAAGTTTGTACCAAATGATGGTTTTTACGCTGCATGGTGGACGCAAACGAACTCCGTTACACATGTTAACTGGAACTAGCGTTCATTCGATCTGTAAAAGCGCATCATTAATTACCAGTTTGAATCGAATCGGTGTTTCGATGTCGTACGATGATATTCGTCGCACTCGCTCACGATTAGCTGCTTTTACGATTGAACGAAGTCTGGGTAATGTTCCAATACCATCACACTTTGATCCAGAAGAATTTACTGTGGCGGCATTTGATAATTTCGATCACAACGAAAATACATTGTCGGGATTAAATAGTTCTCACGATACTGTTTTCGTATTATTTCAAAATCGGCCAAAAAATACTAACATGAAACCTAAAATTAACGACACTGAGATTTCAAAGGTAAACAAAACTTCAGTATACATGCTAGATTGCCAAAAATTGAAAAGTTTTGAAAAACCAGATAAGATTACCCTTTCACCGGAATTTCAGTTACGAACGCTACCAAATATCGATCCTTCACTTTACCAGAAAACTACAAACGATATTCTATGGGTCCTAAGTAGAGTAAATATTTGTGAAATTTCAACTTCAATACCACCAACAACAAGTATACAAATGATTCCTTCCTGGGCGGCATTTAATAGTTTATTAACAGTAGACTTACGGCCGACTCAAATAGCTGGTTATCTCCCAGTTTTACCATTTCCAGTTACGGAATATTCGACTGTTTATACATCTTTATGTAATTTTAAAAACGTTCTTACTCAATTGAAGCAAGACTGCCTTCCAGTATTTTGTGATGAAGGAGTCTATAGAATAGCGCGTCATATTAAATTCGAGCGATCAGAAGAATTTGCAGATATTTTTGTAATGTTGGGATCATTCCATATGGCCAAAGTGGGATTAACCTGTATTGGAAAATATTTGAAAGGAAGTGGAATTGAACAAGTTTTAATAGAAACCGAAACGTTTGGACCAGGAACAACCGATCAAGTTTTAAGTGGCACGAATTATTCGAGATCTTTTAAAGGGTTTACGTTAGTTTCAGAAGCTCTGCAACGATTACAATTGAAAGAATTCCTTAAAACTATCACGATTGATAAGTACAGTAATGATTTCAGTGATTTTAGTACCTTCAGAGATCTTTTAATTGAAGAAAGCCATGATGAAGCTAGGGCTATGTATCAGCTTTTAGAAACAAAATCGAGTAATTTCCGAAATGATTTTGAAGCTTTTATTGTTAAGAGTTGTTCCGAATCATCATTATTTTTATTTTGGAATAATGTGATCGTGATGACAGATTTAGTTAAAAACTTAATTAAAGCCGATAGAACTGGTGATTGGGATTTACATGTGGAGACCGTTATCAAATTACAGCCATTATTTCACGCTATGGACAGAACAAATTATTCTCGTTGGTCATCGGTGTACATCGCAGATATAATAAATCTCCAACATACAAATCCTGATCTGTATAAACGTCTGAAAGCTGGTCATTTTACTGTTAAAAACTCCAATACTCCGTTTACTTCAATTGCTGTTGATCAAGGATTAGAGTGTTCGATTAATCGTTCTGGAAAAAATTCTGGTGGTATAATTGGTTCAACAGCTAAAAAAGATTATGTTACGACATGGAATTTAGTTTATCATGAGGAGCTTGACATAAAAAATCTTTTTCGTCAACTTACATTAGTCGATGAAGACAATTATGAACTTTACCATCACGAGTTTTCTTCTTCTTGCACAAAAACATCGGAGTTGTTAGTGTCCAACATAGTAAAATATATTGAGAAGTATACAAACCCATTTATGATCCAAGAAGATAATAGTTTACGTAACATAATTACTCAAGAAAAATGTTCTGAAATTGTTAGTAATGGTTTATTAAAAATTTGGGACGTAGGTTGTAATACTTTTGAAGACTTCTACACGCAACGGATTCTTCTTCAAAAAGAAGATCTATCTGAAACTATAAAAAAAATAAAACTAAAAACTATGGATTTTAGAGAAAATCAACCAAAAAAACAATTAAAGCCGAAACTAGATGATTTAAAAGAAGCTCAAAAAGTATATAATCTCGCAGTGGAACGTCAATATCCTCGGGAATCTTTATTTTCTTACCAGCTATCCGCAAATAATATGTTATTTAATAATGAAGGGTTCATGAATGCTGCAGTAAATTCTCAATTAATTGATGAACTCAAGAAGAAAGTCAAAATTCAAGATAGCAGTACAAATGCAGTGGATACGACAACGTGCTTGATATTCCGCACTTTAGATTTGTGCAGAAAGATTAAGTTTAAAAATTTGAAAACATTTCAAGACTACCGTGAACAATTTACTGAATTGTTGCTTGTTGAAATTTCTTGTAAACCTAAATTAACCCGGATAGATTTATTATTTGAGTGTTTTCAACAAAAATTACCTACAACTGAAGTAATGTAAGTATGACGTTTTCTCATATTAATTTCGTAATTATCTTGATTAATAAAAAAAAAAAGACATTATTATTTTAAGTATCGGGTAAAACACAAAAATGAAAGGGTTATAAGACTTTTTTGAGTATCAATTAAATATCTATGAAAAATATCGTAAAAGAGCAAAAATTTTTAATTGATTAAGCGAAAAGTCTATAATTTAGTATTTAGTTTACAGTAGAAATAAATTTGTTCAAAGCTAAGCTGATGATTGAAACGTTACTATGGACGTATGCACATTTTACACTCGCATATTATATTTTTAATTTGTATTAAAACACTTATTTTTTTCTAGATCCAATAAGCAGTCGTTTGAAATTCATTCGATTGGAGATGAAACTCCAATACCATCAAGTGAAAGTAATTTTTGGAATAATTCTGAAAACGTGAAATTACTACAGGTGTATTTAATTAAACATTTGGAAAAGTCGATTCCAACGTTGGTACGTCAGCATGAAAAATTAAAAATTTTTTCAAACAATATGCCTAATTCTGCAGCTCACGATATGAATGATGAATGCATTGCTCACATTCAATCTGCGACTAAAAATAAACACACTGAAATAAAAATTACTTATGCAGATTGTGATTTATTAGTGATGGTAATGTACTTCTGGAAAAATTTTGAAATTAATGGTTTAAAAGTAAGTGATAAAAACTAATTTTCATTTAAATACAATTAATTAAATAGTTTATTTTATAAATGACATGATTGTTACAGAAATTATGGATGGAATACAAGTGTGGTCGGAGTACAAAAATAATTCCTGTCGAAATTCTCGTGCAAAATTATAATCAGAGCTTCCGTCAGGTGCTACCAGCTATGCATTTTCTTACAGGATCATTCTATACAAGCAAAATTGGTACAAAGCTCAAAGCGATAGAAGCCAACCCGCTAAAATATCTGGAAAATTTTGCTACAGGTTAGTAATAATAAAAAATGCGAAACTTTCATCGCCCTAATTACTTAAGTCAAATAACTTTATTTTATCAATAGACGTACAACAGTTGTATCTGGGAGATATTCTTAAAGCAGCTGAAACCTATCTAGTACGGGTTTTATATAAAAAAGAAACATGTGAAACATTCAACGACTTAAGGGTTTCGTTATTTAAATCAGGCAAAACTACGGTAATAACAGAATTACCTCCATGTAGTGAAGAGATAACATACCATATTCGAAGAGCTTATTATATCACCTACAATAAGATGTGGATGTTCAGTTCCGAAAAAAATAACCTCGATCCTGTAGACTTTGGCTACGAACAAAAAGATCAAAAACTAGTACCAAAGAGAGTCGTATCACTTTATCCACCCAATGACGAATTACCCCCGCCATGTCATTGCAAAAATTGTTCAAGGAAATGTAATTGTAGAATTAACGGAATGTTATGTTGCTCTTTTTGCAGGTGTGTAAATGAAAAAAGCTGTCAAAATTACATATTTTGCTCAACAGAATAAAAGCTAGTTTAGTAAAAAAAAACCTTAATTATTTGTGCAGTTACATTCTCTTCTTTGTATTATTTTTTACAGTTACAAAGTCGGTCAGTTGTAAACTAACTGAACTAAGAAAAATATTGGAATACCGAAATTCTGACTTATAAGCTAGAAACCGCTACTTATGGAGCTGTTTCTCCATAGATATGGGAAGAATCCATCAATTATGGGTCTCGAAATCATCTATAGAGCCTACTCTATGATTTCCATAAGTTTTCTTCCTTTATCTCCCGTGGACACCGTGGAATAAATTTTGAACAGTCGATTTTCTTTCAATTAACTCAAAAAACGACTTTTATAGGGCTGTTACTCGGTGTCTATGGGGTTAATCTATCGATTATAGGTCTGGGAATCTTCTGTATAGTGTCCTGGAAGATTCTCATGAGTTTTATTCCTTAATCTCCGATGGACACCGAGGATTGAATTTTCTAAAGTCGAAAATCCGTCAATTTAATTAAAAAACCCCCTTTTTTGGGGCTGTTACTCGGTGTCTATGGGGTTGATCTATCGATAATGGGTCTGGGAATCTTCTGTATAGTGTCCTGGAAGATTCCCTTGAGTTTTATTCCTTAATCTTTGATGGACACCGAGGATTGAATTTTCTAAAGTCGAAAATCCGTCAATTTTCTTAAGACACCCTCTTTTATAGGGCTGTTACTCGGTGTCTATGGAGTAAATCTATTAATTATAGGTCTGGGAATCTTTTGAATAGACTTCTGGAAGATTCCCAGGAGTTTTATTCCTTAATCTCCGATGGACAACGAGGATTGAATTTTTTTTAACTTAAATTCTTGACAAATAAGTCAAAGAACGCCTTTTATGAGGCTGTTACTCGGTGTCTATGGGGTTAATCTAACGATTATGGGTCTAGGAATCTTCCGTATAGTGTCCTAGAAGATTCCCATGAGTTTCCTTCCTTAATCTCAGGTGGACACCGAGGATTGAATTTTTTGTAACTCAAATTCTCGACGACTAAGTCAAAGAACGCCTTTTATGGGACTGTTACTCGGTGTCTATGGGGTTAATCTAACGATTATGGGTCTAGGAATCTTCCGTATAGTGTCCTAGAAGATTCCCATGAGTTTCCTTCCTTAATCTCAGGTGGACACCGAGGATTGAATTTTTTGTAACTCAAATTCTCGACGACTAAGTCAAAGAACGCCTTTTATGGGACTGTTACTCGGTGTCTATGGGGTTAATCTAACGATTATCGATCTAGGAATCTTCCGTATAGTGTCCTAGAAGATTCCCATGAGTTTCCTTCCTTAATCTCAGGTGGACACCGAGGATTGAATTTTTTGTAACTCAAATTCTCGACGACTAAGTCAAAGAACGCCTTTTATGGGGCTGTTACTCGGTGTCTATGGGGTTAATCTAACGATTATGGGTCTAGGAATCTTCCGTATAGTGTCCTAGAAGATTCCCATGAGTTTCCTTCCTTAATCTCAGGTGGACACCGAGGATTGAATTTTTTGTAACTCAAATTCTCGACGACTAAGTCAAAGAACGCCTTTTATGGGGCTGTTACTCGGTGTCCATGGGGTTAATCTTTTAATTATGCGTCTGGGAATCTTCTGTATAGTGTTCTAGAAGATTCCCATGAGTTTT